TGCTGTCTCTGTGTACAGGTAGTCCTCGACATACAAATGTGCATTCAGTGCCCGTTTGAAATTACAACAGCACTGGAAAAAGGAGTTATGACCATTTTTCACACTTACAACCATTGCAGCATCTCCATGGTCATGTGATCAAAGTTCAGAGGCTTGGCAACTGACTCATATTTATCATGGTCGCAGTCCCTGAGTCATGTGATCCCCCTTTGCAACTTTCTGCCAAGCAAAGTCCATTGGGAAGCCAGATTCACTTAACAACCATGTGACTAACTTAGCACATGCAGTGATTCACTTAACAACTCTGGCAAGAAAGGATGTAAAATGGGGCAAAACTCAACAAGCAACAGACATTTGGGGCTGAATAATGGCCATATGTTGAAGACTACCTGTATTGCAATGTCCTTGTTGTTATGCTTCATCACATAGTCAACCAGTATACTGTCTAATTTCCAGTGACTATGGGCAATTGAAGAATGGAGAGGCCCAAGAACCAGTGGTTCAGTGCCATTTGAGTTTTTCCATGGTTTTTCTCAATTTTTCCCCTGTGGGATTTCCCTGAATTATTTCATCTCCAATCAAATGATGTTTAGTCAATATGCAATGATAGTTCATTGTTTAATTTGGAGTCTTTCCCCAAAGACTCTGCCACCCCACATTCTCTCATACAGTGCACAAGGTTGAATATTAGTTGTAGGTTGTTCCATTGCTCTGATTTTAGTTGAAAAGTAATGGTTTCCTTTTCACTAGCCAGCATTCTTCTTCTCTTGGTGACAAAAGCAGTTCTTTTTTTATGGTGGTTTTACAATTTTCACAGCATGATAGTTTTCAGTGTTCATTCCAATGTGTATAAAAAGGTAAATGTCTGGAAAAAAATAGCATAGTAATTTGTTATTGGCCATTTTAATAGTGGCACAAACATGTCTTTTCTCCTAAAATCTATACTTTTACAAATCTCAAAAGTGCTCCATTGTTGAATGCTGTGATACTAAGTTTTGTTCACTTTTTAAATGTATCTCTCACTAACTGTGCAATAATCTTAATGTGTGTGCAGGTTTAAAGAATGACATTTGGCAAGAACGCACTGGTTGGCCTTATGTACTGTTTGTGAACAAAAGTTTCTGAGTTCACACAACTGGCTCAGCTGCCAAAAATCAGTTTTGGGATTTGTGGGGTAGACAAATACAACTGCTGAATACTGGAATCAAGATGATACACTTAGCTCCATCTTTTGACATTTGCATATTTATCAGAATTAAAATATGATAGAAAGTAACTTTCAGCAAAACAATTATAAAATTGGTTGTAGCCACATTTGTTCATGCATAGAAACAATGGGTAGAAACTAATCAAGGAGAGAAGCAACTTAGAACTAAGGAGAAATTTGAACAATGAATCAGTGGAACAACCGGCCTTCTGAAGTTGTAAATGCTGCAACACTGAAAGTTTTAAAGAAGAGATTAGATAACCATTTATCTGAAGTGGTGTAGGGTTTCTTGCCTAAGCAGGGGGTTGGGCTAGAAGACCTTCAATATCCCTCCCATCTCTGTTCTTCCAATCTATATACATCTAAATAAGAAACCCAACTTTTCAGCTTTTCTTTCCAGTATTTGGTAGCAGATTCCATCTTGCCAAAACCAAATCTACCCATCTAGTCTAGTTCTTTATTCTTTATTTTTGTCTGAAATGGTATAGGACTACCTTCTCTACAGAGGGTTGGACTAGAAGACCTCAAAGGTCACTTCCAGCTTTGTTATTCTGTTAGTCCAAACATCCCAAAAGTTCACTGAGATTCTATCATCAATGAGAAGTATAGAGGATATAGAATACACATGTTTTTTTGTGGTGACATTCATGTTCTGAAACTTGTTTTCCTAAGATATGAATTTCAGAATAGAATAAAAACTATTTTTTATNGATTTTGTCAATTTTTAACTGTTTGAAATGTAATTCCAGTGCTTTTGGAATAGCACCCAGTGTGCCAATTACCACTGGAATTACCACTGCTGGTTATTATTATTATTATGTGAATCTTTGGTGAGATTCACAGCCTTTGGGGCTGGTTGGTAGCTCAACAGCTCGAGTCCTTATCAAGGACGTAGGAACTGTTAAGGTAACGTCGAAGGATATAAGCTGTTCCAAGTAGGGTGTTTTTTGTAGAATCAAATTATTAATATTAATATCAATATTGATATCAATACCAATATCAATATTGTTAATATTGTTAATATTGCTAATATTGCCAATATTGCTAATATTGTTAATATTGCTAATATTGTTAATATTGCTAATATCGTTAATATTGATATTAATATCAATATTAATTATTTATTGAATTTATATTGCCGCCTATTTGCGCATGGCGACTCGAGGCAGCTTACAGAATATAAAACATTTAAAACAATAAAAAGATTACATTAAATTAAATCTTTTCAAATTAAGAAGAACCAAATAAATTAATGTGATTGATTGATTAATTAATTAATGTAATAAAATAAAATCACCCCCACCCCAAGGTGATGATAAGGATGGGCAGAAGCATCAAGAGGCCCCAGAAGAGGGTTACATAATTTAGTGGAAAACAAGGCTTCTGAGTATTGTTTTGAAGACACCATGTTACCTCCAAATTGGGAGCCACTTGCCTCTCAATCTGAGTTGCAGGAGAAAAAGGGAAGGGCGTGTCCATCTGATGCTAGGGGACTCGCGTTGGACCCCCACAAGGAGCAATATACAGGACTAAGAGGTCCTTGGCCTGGTCCATCATGTTTTTCTAGGAAGGAGATGTAGAAGAGTCCAAAAGAAGTATTCATGCAGAGTTCATTAACTTCTGGAATTCATTGTCACGGAGATGGTGTTGGCCACTAACTTGGCTGGCCTTCAGAAGGGATTGGATAAATTCCTGGAGGTCTGTTGGGATCTACATATCTTGAAGACCCCGTGTTATCTCTGTGTTGAAGATCAGTTATGGAGAGACGGCCGTAGGAGATGGTAGTTNCACACTGGGAACAGGCTCCAGCTGTTCCTCTGCCTCATTGCTGTCTAACTCCGAAGGCAGCTGAGAACTGCTGGACGGCCTTGGCCCCATCTCTACCTCCGATGCAGAACCCTCGTCCGAGCTTCCCCAGCCTCCAGGACTGGCCCATGTTCCTCCCCAATCTCCTCGCTGTCCGACTCTGCTGCCCACTCTGCTGGTTCAGGGTTCAGGGCCTAGCCAAAATGAGCAGTAAAGAAGTACAGGTCATCCTTGAGTTAAAACCATTCATTTAGTGACTGAAATCACAACGGTGTTGAAAACAGTGAGTTTTGACTGTTTTTAACACTTACGACCATCACAGCATCAACTGTGGTCATAAATCAAGGACCACCAGTAGGTAGCTACCAAATCTTGAAGGAAAGATCAGGGTTGGACAAGGCTTATAAATGGCTGAGGAATAAGACCTTCCTTAAATATTGGGGAATGGTCATTTTCAACATTTAAGCTTCTGTTTTACAGGTACCAAATTTTTCAGAGTATAAGACGCACCTTTTCTCCTCCCCCCCCCATAAAAGAGGGTGAAATTTGGGTGCGTCTTATACACTGAATGTAGCCCCACCCATCAGCCCCAACCCTTTGGCCTCTCCCTCCCAGCAATTTACCTCTTTGCAGCAAATGGGGGGCTTGTGGAGGCTTCAATAAGCTATAGAAATCCCTGCAGCCCAAAACAGCTGATGATCGGGAGAAATTGAAAGTGAAACTAGCTGTTTGCTCCACTTGGCAAATTGCTGGAAGGCAGATTTTTTTTTTCTTCTGCTAATCAGACTGTTTGCTGCAAGGAGGTAAGTCAACAACTATAAATGCCTAGGAAATGTTCAAACTATTAGATTTATTTTTTTAAAGACTGCTTTATTATTGTTATTCTAGACAACTTAACAAAATGAAGAAGCTTTTTAAAATAAATGCTTGATCTGAAGAGGCCCTGTGCTATTGTTTTAAAAAGCGCTATTCTTTTAAATAGCAGAGAATAACTATACTTCCAGAAAGCACATCGATTTTAACAGCGTCTGTACCAAATATAGTCTGAAATAGAACACTACAAACATTGTATATTGTCTGTACTGTTTGTTGCAAAGGGGAAAATTGCTGGGAGGCAGAAGCAGATATTTTTCCCTTGTTTTCCTCCCCCAAATCTAGGTGCGTCTTATACTTCGGAGCGTCTTATACTCTGAAAAATACGGTACTTCTCAACTTACAACTGCCCTGGAGGCCAAAATGTCTGTTGCTAAGCGAAACAGTTGTTAAATAAGTTTTGTTGGGTGACCCTTCAAAGTTACAACGGCGCTGAAAATAGTGACATACAATGATTTTTCATGCTTAAAACCATTGGGTATGGGATCAGCATTTGGATGCTTGGCAACTGTCTCCTATTTATGACCGTTGCAGCATCCCCCCCCGGGGTCGTGTGATCCTCTCTTACGACTGTTCGACCAGTAGCCAGATTCACCTCACCGCGTTCCTCAGCAGCTGCAGTGATTCACTTAACAACCGTGGCGAGAAAGGTTGGGAAATGGGGCTCACCTAACGACTGTCTCGCTTAGCAACGGGAATTTTGGGCTCCGTTGTGGTCGTAAGTCGAGGACTGCCTGTGTCTTCAGGGAAATGGAAGAATGAAAAGTTCTGGTGAGATTGAGGGTGTTTTTCTTCTCCAAAGGAACCGCACCCGGCCCGTTACTCAGCTGAAAATGCCGCCAAAAGACTTTCTCGTCTGGACACTTATTCTCCGAACATTTTTGAGAATCTGGATCAGCTGAAATCGTTCTTCGTAGAAGTAAGTCTCTCCCAGGTTGAGATGAAAGGGGTCGTTTTGATCGCTTCCCATCTAGCCACCAATATGGAAAGTCCTCAACTTATGACCATTCGTTTAGTGCAGGGGTGTCCAAACTTGGGAACTTTTAAGACTTGTGGACTTCAACTCCCAGAATTCCCCAGCCAGCCAAACTTGGGAACTTTAAGACTTGTGGACTTCAACTCCCAGAATTCCCCAGCCAGCCAAACTTGGGAACTTTAAGACTTGTGGA